TTCTCTAGTTCAAAGGTCAGTATTGTGCACGTGACAAAACAAAACCAGTGTCAGTGGAGAGTAAGCTAGCGGGCACAACGGAGATGGGAGCAGTTTCTTACCCCAAAAACATGGGAGAAAAACGAAAGAAAACTTATCACTTTCACAACGAATGGGAGGAGTAGTTCGTTTTTACGACTGTAAAATAAACCTGCGTGTGTCTGATCTGCGGGGCAACTATGGCGACGGCAAAGCGGCACAATGTGGAGAAACACTTCACTTCGTGCCACAAAAGCCAGCATGCTAACTAGCCACCGGGAATCGCACTACGGGCAGAAAAAGCACATCTGAAATATGCACTCACAGTTGCGGTGTCAAGTTACACACCAGATTACAATGCACTGGTGAACAGCATGCAATGCCAATCTGTTAAAGATTTGGTCATGAGATTTCAGATTTCTTTTTAATATGTGAGTTGATTTTTCTTTAACATTAGATAATTGATAACTTTTTGAAACATGGTGCAACATAGTTCATGATTTGTTAAATGGTTTTGTCAGTGGCTAGTGAAAATGATTCGGATAAGCGGAAGATAATGGATGGATGGATGGATGGATGGATGGATGGATGGATGGATGGATAGTGAAAATGAGTGAAATTGAAAACTCCTATGTAAATGTAGTGATGTACAGTAAGTGATCATCTGAAAACTTAACAGTTGCTGAGATAAATAGAGATAAAGTGGTGTATATTGATATGTTTCCCATTTTGTTGTCATAGATGAGTATCATTAATGATTATTAATAAAGTATAGCTAAAAGCATATTGAGCAAATGTATTATTTCAGAAGAGTGTATCAAACTGGTAGCCCTTCGTGTGACTCAGTACCCATGAAGTAGCCCTCCGATTCAAAAAGGTTGGTGACCCCTGGTTTAGACTGATGCATTATAAACAACAGGGGATCTTCATTCCACATGAGTGCATTTTTTAAATCTATTTCTATTCCCAGAAAATCTAATTTTTTACTTCAGCTGAATGTTTACCGCAAAGGTTATGTTTACGTTAAGTTGACCTAGAGTTTATAGGTAGAAATTAAGCAAGATTGAATACTTTCTTTGACATGTGCTCGAAGCCCCTTATAACTGAACAGTAATGAGTAATTATAACACACCAAGAATAGATTGTCTAACTCAAATCTATGCGTAATGATATTTCTGTGCTTTTAGGTACTGGTTGTTAATTTTTCTATATCACTTATATAGTGTAGTAACTATTACATCATAATGCTAAAATGGTTAGTGTCAAAATGGCACTAAAGCTATGTCAGCTTTCACAAAAAGATTAAAGAATTAAAGTTTGATCAATGTTGAAAGTGTTAAAAAGCCACATGGTTTAACATAAACCCCACTATACATTAGAGGCTGACATTTTTTCGGGAATCCCACGGGTCACGGGATTCCCGCGGGATTCCTGCGGGATGGGAGTCATCTTCGCTATTAATCACGGGATTGGGACGGTACGGGATAAATAATTAACGGGAGCAGACGGGAGCGGGAATCAACCAATGGCAAAGACGAAAAAAAAAAAAAAAAGTAGATCCACCATTTTGTAGTTTCCTTGTAATATCCCTACAATGTAACGCAATTAAAAAATAACTACATGACCCAGTGGTCCCAGAAGCCATCGGTGCTTTTTGTCACGGCTTACCGCCAGAATTCAAATAGCAGTGATGGAGGGAGCTAACAGCCGCGGAGACGTCGATGCAGCAAAAAATGATTTACAGCGGAAAGTAAGATGTAACGACATTTCTATTAAGTTCACAGAACTGGTCGGAAAGTCTGACATATTATTTAAGTTTAAAAGAGTGGAATGTGACGGTGTTAGCACGGTGTACGCTGCTTGTAAGACTTGTTTAGTGTTGGTCAAGTACGCGAGTGATTCGGGGACGAGCGGTCTGAAGAGGCACACTTGCAAGGCAGATTCGGGAAAGAATCAGCCAAGCATCGCTTCGTTCATCAAGCGAAAATTGCCGTCGGGTGTCAAGTCTCGTCTGACCGACAAAATTGCTCGCATGTGCAGCCAAGATCTCAGACCCTTTGCTATATATAAAAATATATATATACAAAATATACGGGAGCGGTACAGGAGCGGGAGTCAGTTTAAACGGGAGCGGGATGGGAGCGGGAGTCAATTTACCAGGAGCGGGATGGGATGGGATTATTTTTTAAACTTTGGTCTGGGAGTGGGACGGGACAAGATTTCTTTCTATGGGAGTGGGACGGGACAGGAGTGAAAATCCACTCCCGTGTCATCCTCTACTATACATGTCAAGGCTCTCAAGCGTTATGACGAATAACACGAATGCGCCAAGTGTGCCCTCGCCCGGACGCCGATTCACCGGGGCCCCACCCTAGAGCCAGGCCCAGAGGTGGGGCATGTTGGCGAGCGCCTGGTGGCTGGGCTTTAGTCCATGGAGCCCGGCCGGGCTCAGCCCAAATAGGCCACATGGGTCCCCCCTCCATTGGGCTCACCACCCCTAGGAGGGGCCAAAGGGGTCAGGTGCATTGTGGAACGGGTGACAGCCGGAGTCGGGGACCTTGGCAAACCGATCCTCGGCTGCAGAATCTGGCTCTAGGGATGTGGAATGGCACATCCCTGGTGGGGAAGGAGCCTGAGTTGGTGTGCGAGGCAGAGAGATTCTGGCTGGACATAGTCGGTCTCGCCTCGATGCACAGCTCTGGCTCTGGAACCAGCCTTCTTGAGAGGGGTTGGACGCTACTCTGGAGTTGCCCCCGGTGAGAGGGACTGAGCAGGAGTGGGTATACTTGTTGCCCCCCATCTTGGTGCCTGTACGTTGGGGAGGGTAGCCTTCCTTTGCCTTTTGGTGGGGGGACGGCTACTGACTGTTGTTGGTGCTTATGCGCCTAACAGCAATTCAATTCAATTCAATCTTATTTATATAGCGCCACATCACAACAACAGTTGTCTCACAGCGCTTTCCAAACAGAGCAGGTCAGACCCTACTCTGAAGTTAATTACAGAAACCCAACAATTCCCACCATGAGCAAGCACTAGGCGACACAGGCAAGGAAAAACTTCCTTTTACAGCAGTGCAGAGTACCCACCCTTTTGGAGTCCTTCCAGGGCGTGCTGGAGGATGCCCTCCCTGGGGACTCAATTTTTCTGCTGGGGGACTTCCAACACTCACGTGGGCAATAGTATATTTCCAAATTCATTATTTGAGATCAACATTCAGATTATTTTTCTCACACTTACAAGTTCAGTCAGTCAATTTGTTTCCTTATATTCCTCAAACATGTTTTGAAGTTAACGGCCTACTTTATTCTTATACTCAAACTCATCCAATAATCATTGAGTGGAGTCCAAATTTGATTGAAAATAATGATTAGTGTCATCCACATGCAGGCTACACCCCCCTGTTTTGTTGATGCATGTTTCACTAAAGCAAGCAGTTTTTAGATAAGCGTAATTAAGGTACTCCAAAGTCAACATACATAGTATTGATGTCAAGTTAAAAAAATTATTGCAATTTTTGTTGGAACCCTTTTCTACTTTTGATATCTTGTCAAACGACCATTTTATTCAAACTGTGGCATGGCCTGCATGAGTAAAATAAGAAATGTAACTTTTGTGTTTTTCTTCGTTTTTTCTCTTTGGTACTCAGTGAATGTCCCCATGGATGAAGCCGTCTCTTTATTCTCGTAAATTGTCTCTGGGGCTGCTCTCGTAAAGGCCTTCACATCATCAACCCCAGGACATCCAGCTTTATAATGGGGGAAATAGTACAGATGCATTTCACCACTGTGGACTATGTCATTTTTGCTGTGCTTCTTGTGGCTTCCGCGGGGATTGGTCTCTTTTATGCCCTGTCTGGGGGGCGTCAACGTACAACACAGGTAGATGGACACACAAACAGATCTTTTATCAGGTGGCCTTGGACGATGAAACACTTATCTTTCACTTAACTTTCATTCAATTGTTTGTTGTAATGATGTCTGCTATACTGTTTGTCAAAGGAGTTCCTTATGGCTGACCGTTCCATGAGCTGCCTGCCCGTCTCCTTATCCCTGCTGGCCACATTTCAGTCAGCTGTGGCCATCCTTGGTGCTCCATCAGAGGTGTACACGTTTGGAACCCAGTACTGGTTCCTGGGCTGCTCTTATTTCTTAGGCCTGCTCATCCCAGCTCATGTATTCATACCAATCTTCTACAGGCTTCGACTGTCAAGCGCCTATGAGGTACTCAAAAATAGAACTAACCTGCACTTTTTCCTTCCAGCAATTTTGTGCCACATTGTTATGCTAGCATAATGGTGTGATGGAGAAGAGTCCTCATTTTATCCTCAGAATATAATGCCTCTGAGAAACAAATACTCTTCTTTGAAGAAGTAACATCTCTATAAAAAACAGATAATATATGAGAGATGGACTGTATTGTGTCATTTTGAACTCAGATAATTAGAACTAACTGTTATAAGTCATGCAATAAAATCACAGCACTTACTTTTTAATACAGACATTCTCTAAGATGATATGTGTCAAAATTTAAGGTTACCTGTCTAACCCCAGTTCTGGGAAGTATCCTATGGCTTGACCAATCACGGAAGTTCTACTACAGGCCAACCAAGATGCTTAGCAAAGGGCCCACCACGCCCTCTTTACAAGGGCCTGCAGGACATTCTTAAGTGTATTTCTTTAAGCGCCAATGCCAGAAGGGCAGTGTGGTGAGATATCTCACTCAGTTTTCAGAGTTTCTTTCAAACTTCACTCATTATCTGTCTATGGTAGAGATAGCCCACTCCTGAATTACATCCTTCAAGCACCAGACCTTAAACAATGAGTAAGACAACACCACATGCTATCCCCCATTCCACCCCACCTAGAGCAGATAATTTTAATTCAACATTTATTTCTGCTGATGTTAATACCAGCAACAAAACAGTTTTGAAAGACATCGCCTTAAAGTCAAAACCCTCCAGGGGCTTGAAAAGGCATTCCGAGAGATCTGGAATTATATAGTTCAGTGGTTCCCAAATTTTTTCACGTACCCCTTCAGTCATTGGACCTCCAGCCATGTACCCCCTACTCCTATACACACAAAAAACTGTCTTTAAGCCCCCACACCACCACCACCACACACATAGCCTACGATACATCAAACATCACTTAAATAATTTCTATATTATTTTATTTTAACTCCTTTTTGCTGTCTGTGGCTATGCAGCTTGGTCAACCAGAGGTGCATCACTAGGTCAAGGGTAGTAAACATTGAAGGTTAAAAATAACGTGGGTTGTCGAGATTAGCCTAGTGGTGGCCGGCAGGTGTTTATTTAGGCAATTTTGCAATTGATTCACTGACTGTAGTCTATGCATGGCAGTAGCTATGTTTTTGGCACAGTGAGGAGTTACTCTTAGACTTAGACTAAACTTTTGTTATTTTGTATCCACAGGTTGAATACAGAACAAAATGTTGCAGCATACGTTTAACAACAAGTAACAAAATTACAATGAAATAGGATTAAAGTACTGTAAAAGTAAAAGTTCAGTTATGTTACTCTAGTGTGTCTTTTTTTTATGCTAGTTTGAAAACGTAACAAAGCTCTTTGCAAACCCTGTTTTCATGCATTTTGTTTGTGGACCCCCTACATCACATCGCATATACCTTGGGGTACGCATACCACAGTTTGGGAACCATTGCTATAGGCAAATCTTGTGATCAGCTACTGCTTTAGCTTGCGAGAAACTGGCTGGGATTCCGCAGCATCTCGAGAAAAACAGAACTTGGGCGCCCTGTACCTCACACCACGTTCCTTGGCAGCCACAGCTGCAAAACCCTGATCTGGCTTATACAACGATCTATCACCAGTGACTACCATGCCCATGACGCAAGTTACAACCCAGCGCCACACCTCTGGACACCCATAGTTTGAAGTCTGTGACCATGCAGTACTCCTCCCGAGCAGCCAGGTTGGGGGTGCCTCGGTCAAAAAGGTTAGCCATAATAGCTCTGTCTAGTGTGCCAACAGAAGAACGACCACATTAAGATTTTCGATTGGACTAAGCTGTCGAAATATAAAACCTCTGGTACATAGATGCTGTGAAGCGCTTCATTTGGCCTGGTAAGGTGAGTCCACAGGTGAAATTGCAGAGCGCTGACTGGCGTGAAGGTGATACGCCAATACCTGCTCGACAACCATAGGGTCAGCGACAGCCAGTGCATCGCTATTGGCTGGGACAATGGGCTTAAGTTGTTTTGCTGCTGCAAGGCAAACATGGAAATCTTTATTATACAAATCTCTTTCTTCTCCAATGTTATCCCGCAACCTGTGCTGCTGCCCGCTTACATAACTCCCGTAGGTCAACCTCCCGGGTGCTGAGGGAGGCTAAACACTGTCACTGGTGGAGCTACCCAGCTCTGACTCCTGGACAGGAAAATGGCATCTTCATCGTCATCTTCATTTTCCGCTCCGAGGATGTCCAAATTAATGTCCTCCTCTTCCTCGTCTTTAGAGCTAGTCTTTTCCTCTAAATCAGGGGGGTGGATAAAAAAAGTGAGAAAGCCCAAAAAGATTGAGGACATTTTCCCAAGATGCCAAACCCAAAAGAAGATTCGGCTCTGGACCCAACATTGTTAGCCTCGCCCCCAACTGCATTACCAAAATATAAAGCTGCTGGAGCCATCATGCCAGCACCCCAAAGAGCAAGTGTACAAAGAAAAGAACACACACGAGTAGCAGGTCCATAACAACATAAAAAACAAAAACACCAATGCTTTCACTATATGTTTATTGACAGAAAGCGCAGTGAACCCCAGAGACCACAAAAAACTAAATCAGACTACTTCATTGGCTGTTTTGGTGAATAGTTAAGCAGATCTTACAGAGTTCACATCACAGACAACCTCAAGTGATCTTAATTAGGAAGAAAGCAAGAATGTCAGGCACGAGGCTGTAGGCCCATATAAAGGCAGGGATGGGAGGCCCCATGACTGTAATTGAGTTGTAGTGGAGCTTTTGTGATTGGCGACCCCAGAGGACAGTTTCCACCATAAGATAGTGAGCAAATTATAAATATATATATATATATATAAATGTGTGTGTGTGTTTCTACATTCTCTCCAACAGTATCTGGAACTGCGTTTTAACAAGACTGTTCGCATATGTGGGACTGTGACCTTCATCTTTCAGATGGTATCTTGGCCTTCTTCTTATATTATACTAATATTCATTTGAAGAAATATTTTTTCATTCACATAACTACAACTTCAATATCAATATTGTAAACAAATAGGCAAAAAGGGAGAGACTCAACTAAGTTGATTAGGTTCACTTGAGATAGACAGCAGCATATTAATAGCATTTAAGATGTAAGTGTTGAACGTTTTCTCTTCCTAATATTGTTTAGGCAGACATGCAGTTTTTGTACACCTGTCTGACATTTCTGAAAATAAATTAGAAATTAACTCTAGAGAATGAATTGTTTTGTGATTTTAACATTTTACCTTCTTCAGCCCTTTTGTTACTGTATTTAACACAGTGTTATTGCTTTGAAGCCCTCCGATTCCCTCTTAATATATCTGTTAACTGTCCCAATAGATACATCTCTTTGTGCAAATCTGTTATGCAGTTTTATTCTCTCCCTCTGCAGGTAATATATATGGGGGTTGTCCTGTATGCTCCAGCACTTGCACTTAATGCAGGTAAATCCTTTATGACAGGGATCTCCACATCTGGTCCCTCTTTTGTGATTAGATATAGATAGATAATTAAGTTAACCCCTTATTTTGGTTGGATAAGCTATCCTAGAGCTAGCAGTGATGTTTCACTTTAAATTGCAGTGACTGGTTTTGACTTATGGGGTGCAGTACTGGCAATGGGACTGGTGTGTACTCTATATACAGCTCTGGTAAGTCTCTTTTTTTATTCTTCGTTTCATTGATAATGTCACAGGTCTTGATCATAAGATGCTGTAAAGTGTACACAGTTAGAAAAAGGTCAATGACTGCAAAATGCTATGATTCTTTGATCAACTAAAATGCTGTCACACAGGGGGGCCTGAAGGCAGTGATTTGGACAGATGTGTTCCAGACAGTGGTGATGTTTGCAGGTCAGCTGGCAGTCATTATAGTAGGGACAAGTCAGGCTGGAGGTATAGGAGAGGTGTGGAGGAAAGCAATCAATGGCAGCCGTATTGCTGGACTGGAGTGAGTATTAAACAGAGCTGTAGTGTAAATAAGTTCAATTGTACTTGACGAAAATGCAGAAAGAGATCTCCATGATATAATGATATAATATACTGTAACATTCACTTTCGCACTGTAGCCTGAATCCAGACCCTCTACAGCGTCACACCTTCTGGACACTGAGTGTTGGAGGAATATTTCTTATGCTGGCTTTGTATGGTGTTAACCAAGCACAAGTCCAGAGATACCTCAGTTCTCGCTCTGAAAGGGAAGCTGTGATGTAAGTATCATCATTTTTCTCAAAACATTCAAGAACCGTTCAAATATCTAGTCTAAAATATCTGATTGTATAAAAGTAATCTAAGAGTGTTGTCCTCAACTGTCATGTTCTTCCAGGTCATGCTACGTAGTTTTCCCATGCCAGCAGATTGTCCTGTGTTTAGGTTGTATGATGGGCCTAGTTATGTTTGCTCGTTATGGAGAGGACAGTCCTCTGGACAAGGGCTATGTCAAAACTAACGACCAGGTGTGCTCCCATTTTTCATGTTTAAGCAATATAAAGTGTGATGTTTTTTGGGGAATTAAGTTGTTGTTGTTTGTTTTTTTCAGATGGTGCTATACTTTGTGATGGATGTGTTTAGGGACTTGCCTGGCCTCCCAGGGCTGTTTGTGGCCTGCCTCTTCAGTGGAGCACTCAGGTAAAGGAAAAAAGTAGGACAGGGTCTTATGTCAGCATGTTCACTTATAGTGATACTTTCACAAACATTTACAGTATTTTCCGCACTATAAGACGCACCTTCAATGAACGACCTATTTTAAAACTTTGTCCATAAATAAGGCACACCGCATTATAAGGCGCATACAATAGACGCTACAGTAGAGGCGCACTGGAATATGAGGCGCACTGTCGACTTTTGAGATAATTTTAGTTTTTTGGGTGCGCCTTATAGTGCGGAAAATACTGTAGTGTAATATTCTATAGAATTAATAATCCTGTCTGTTTGTGTCGTGTGATGCTGCATATTTACCCCTCAAAAAGAAAAGCTCAATAAATCTTAAGTAAAGCAAATTTATTATAGTATATTAAACATTATTTGGGAGAGTTTCAGCTGTCACGTGAGCCATTTCTAAAACCAATGGATTAATCAAAGTCAGTTGTTTCTACCAAATTGAGTGACAGCCCTTTTGTCAGGGACAAAAGGGGTACACTATGAGTGTTTAGTGTGTTTGTCTGTGGAAAGATGAACTAATTAAAATGCCTTGCGACATTATGCTACATAGGGTTGTGGCTGTTCTGGAGCCTATTGTAGCTGTTTTGTGAGGCAGCTGTTTTTGGATGAGGCAGGGTACAGGGACCAGAAAACAATTTACCTTGTCATAAGTGCTTATGAACCTGAACTGGAAAAACTGGAAAAGACAGGTATAGAAAAATGGAAAGATGGATGAACTGTAGTCTATAGGCAGACATGAAGTGACCCTGTTTATTTCTACAACTTCCATGCAGCTTTCCTGAAAATAACCTTGCTCTGTTCTTGTGGAAAGATTTTCTGAAACACCTGTCATGCATGTTTGAATCCTTGTTATTTATGCAGTCCTTCTCTCTCCTCCATTATCATTTGTCCAGCACTATCTCATCAGCCTTCAACTCCTTAGCTACAGTTACTATGGAGGACCTGATCAAGCCTCATTTCCCAAATATGGCTGAAGCCAGAGCCACTCTACTCTCCAAAGGACTTGGTAAGACTAATGGCTAATGATGAATTCGATTATGTTTTATGTACTTTGAAAGATTAAAGAAAAGTTCAGAGGTTGTTGTTTTTGCCTTGCCATGTGCCCTACAGCTTTGGCCTATGGTCTGGTGTGTCTGGCCATGGCCTACATTGCGTCCATAATGGGATCTGTGTTGCAGGTAGCTATTCCAATGGAACAGTTAAATTCCAATTGTACAGTTGATTTAAGATGATCGATACTTTGATCATTCCTGAAGGGAGATTATATTTCTATAGCATTATTTGGCTTTAATATTTAGCTAAGGATAGATTATGATATAAAACCCAATTCTTCTGATTAACATGTAGAAAATTGCAATGTAGAAAAGAGGAAGGCATGGTAGAAATCCTCAGAGATAAACTTCTCTTCTTTAACATTTTAAGGTTTGAGCAAAAAGAAAGAAAGAAAGAAAAAATGTTTAAAGTCTTTATTTGGCCCGTTAACAAAATTTGATAAAAGTCAACAGAAAAAACTTTTGAATATTTAGAATGTAATATTTATTAGCACCGGGACCCCATTAGGGAATAAGCTGTAACAATAATGGATGGATGGATGAATATTTATTACCATGCCATAAGTCAAAATTCTTGTTTAGTCTTCTGCCAGTTGTTACCAGGTATATCCGATCGTGTACAAAAGTGATTTGAGCAAAGTTTTTACCATTAATGTAAAAAAAAATCAGAAAAACAAAACATTTCAGAAAACATATATAAAATATGATAGATACGGCATTATTGGGTTAACTTTATCTTGATTTGCGGTGCAAACATTTTGTGGTCTTTGGAAAACTGAATTAGTAACACTAGCAGGTTCACAACTCGACAAGTTTACACATAACAGATTTAGTCCTTCCAGAAGGACAGCATTGACACTAGCACAGATTTTCTTTCCTGAAATTCATTGTTTCATATGAAAAAAATCACTCTGGAAGGATAACGGCATCTTCAAGGTTGTCTGTATCTTAAACCACAAATAACTAATTGAGAGCAATCAGCAAAAGCTGGGGTAGCAAATTTTCAGTTTAAGTTATTTAAACAAAACAGAAAATACACTCAACGATCACTAGTGTGCATCTCTTTACTTTTAATATGAGCATCCCTTAATGTTTGCAATGCCTTGCTATGTGCCTTCAGGCAGCCTTCAGTATCTTTGGCATGGTGGGTGGTCCCCTCCTGGGACTCTTCTGCCTGGGAATTTTCTTCCCCTGGGCCAACTCTATCGTAAGTCCTACTTTCAAAAGCTTTCATATCCTCATCATTATTTTATCAAGTGAATGGTACGGTGGCCCTGAGGTGCAAAACACTACGACATTAACGAATGCACAACAACATCAATGAAAACACAACGACATTAAGAAAAACACTACAACATTAATGAAAACACAACGACATTAACAAAAACACTACAACATTAATGAAGCACAAATACAAATTCAAAAACACAACAACATTAACGAAGCACAAATACAAATTCAAAAACACAACAACAGTAACAAAAACACAACAACATTAACGAAAACACAACAACATTAACGAAAACACAACGGAAGTTGCTGATTGCTAAGTTGCTAAGAAGTCGCTGATTGGACTACAGCTCGTTTTACTTTTGTCTCTGTGTGGCCCAGCGTGTACCATTTGCCCCTGTGACCTACTAGGAATAAGCGACGTAGAAATTTGACTATGTGTATTCTGCTTTTCGCAGGGTGCAGTATTTGGCTTAGTTGCGGGGCTCACCATGGCTTTCTGGATCGGCATAGGTAGCTTTGTGATGCGTATGTCTGGTTCCACACCACCGGGCCCAATCAATTCCACCGCTCTGCCACTGTTCGACAATGTGACTGCCACCGTTCTGAATTCAGTGATTACCACCCGCACAAATAAGTCAAGGTATTACACGCATCCTAAGGACTAACCGTATGAATAGGCGTCCATGTTTTGATTGAACGGACAATTGTTACTGTGCAAATAGTGCAGTGAAAAGATCCAAGCAATAATTAATTTGAATTTCTTTCAATTTTTTTTTTTTTTTTTTTTTTTTTTTTTTTTTTTAAAAAAAAAAAAAAAAAAAAAAAAAAAATTGAATTACTTTTAAAAATGCTAGAAATATTAAAGAAGGAACAGCTATGTCATTTTAATGTTTATTTTATAATCCCACTCCCGATGTAGGTTACACGTCTAATCGAAGGGATAAACTATTTTCATCATTCATACTCCACCTCTCACACAGGGTAACAGGCGTGGAGGCCCTCTACTCGTTGTCCTACATGTGGTACAGCGCTCACAACTCGGCCACTGTGGTGGTGGTAGGGCTGGTAGTCAGTCTGCTAACAGGTAAAAAAAGGCTTTCCTTACCTGTAGTCTCTGAAAATACGACTTGCTATGGTTACTTATATGATATGAAGCCCTATTAAACAGTTCAGGCCAATGCCTAAATTGCAGGTCGTGCAGTTACTTGTTATTTCATGCTTCACTGTTCAATCGGAACCAATGGTTTGGTCTCACCTTTGTTTTTGTTTCTGTTTTTCATCGCGATTGTGAAAAGACATGCAGATTTTTTGCAGCATCATCAGAGTTGTCATTTGTAATTATAGCATCTTTAGCATTTAGTTCAAGTCATCGT